GAGGTTTATGAAAGCTAGCTTTTTTTTTTTTTTTCTTTTTGTTTCCTAGAGTCTAGGACCTAGACAACAGGTGGAACACTGCTTCCCCTAAATGGTGGCTAGGGTCTAATTTAAGGGGTACCAGGTGCTCTGGTACTTCTGCAAGCTGCCAGCTTTCCAAACTCTTGGTGCTGCAGACATTATGCCTGCGAGCACCCAGCATCCTCCTTGCATGATGCTATACTAAGCATACAACTGCTGCGGACTTTCCCCTGTTAGGTGCTTGAATTAATGATTGATATATCTATATCTATATCTATATCTATATCTATATCTATATCTATATCTATATCTATATCTATATCTATCTATCTATCTATCTATCTATCTATCTATCTATCTATCTGAATGGCTATGTCGCTGGACTCCCACGTAGTCGACCGCGGTTCGAGTCCCGGACCCAGTGGCCTAAAACTCGCGCCGGAGCTGGGACCAGCAGTTAGCGTAATGGCTATGTTGCTGAACTCCCACGTAATCGATCGCTGTTGGAGTCCCGGACCCGGTGGCTTAGAGCTCATGCCGGGGACGTGTGCGTGCGTGCCCTGGGATCCCCAGAGGAGAATGAAGGAGAAGGGATTGCGTCGTGGCCGTCCCCCCTGGGGGGTGATTTCTCGCTTTCTGTCTCTCTGTCTCTCTCTGTCTGGCAAGCACACGCGCCCTGTGGCAAAAATCTCTCCAAAAAAAAAGTTCAGTCTGGCCGAACCGTGTTTCAAGTCCCAGCTCTAGTGACTTGTTTTTTCACTTTCCTTCTCTCTGTCTCTGTCTCTGTCTCTCTCTGGTGAGTGCATGTGGCCTATAGCAAATTAGGGGGGAAAAAGATAAATTAAATTAAATGAGTAATTCTTAAAAAAAAAAAAAAAGCCTTATCTCATTCTTACTCCCAGGAACCTTAGGAACTACTAAGAACTTAAAACTGAGATTTGAAATATTGTCATAGTGGGTCAGCAGGTGGCATGGTAGTTAAGAACTCCCATATAGTAACCAGCAGTTAGCGTAATGGCTATGTCGCTGGACTCCCACGTAGTCGACCGCGGTTCGTGTCCCGGACCCGGTGGCTTAAAACTCACGCCGGGTGCGTGTGCGTGTGTGCCCAAGATCCCGAGAGGAGAATGGAGGAGAAGGGATTGTGGCGTGACCATCCCCCCGGGGGGATGATTTCTCGCTTTCTGTCTCTATGTCTCTCTCTGTCTGTCTGGCGAGCGCACGCGCCCTACAGTGACAATCTCTCCAAAAAAAAAAAAAAAGAACTCCCATATGGCTAACTGTGGTTTGAGCCCCAGACCTGGTGGCTTGAAAATCATGCCAGGTGGTGTGCATGTGTGACAGAAATCCTGAGAGGAGAATAGAGAAGGGCCATCCCCTCTGGGGAGGGTGATATCTCACTTTCATGTTCTCTGTCTCTCTCTGGTGAGTATACACAACCTATGGCAAAAATCTTTAAAAAATTAAAAAAAAAAAAAAAGAGCTGTAGCTGGGATGGGGAACAGAGTGAACTTTTTTGGACATGGTCTATAATAAGTTCAGGCAAATTTCATTCTGGGCATTAAATGACTAAATCTAAACAAATACATTTTCACTAATTTTATTATTTTATTATTATTTTGCCAGAGAGCATGTACACTGGACAGAGAGGCAGAGAGAGGGAAAGCATCCCCCAGTGGGGCTTGGCCAGTCTCCTCTCCATTCTGTCAGGATTTGTGCCCTCATGGCACTCACACCACTTGGCATGGGGGCAGTCCTGGAACAATGGTTTGCCATGTGGGATCCTGCTTCCTTAATCAGTAGGCCATGAGGCAGGCCCTAACTCTCACTTATTTTAACGTGGTAATCAGATTAGTATCTTGAAGCTGGTGACTGAGAAAACTCTATTTCTGGGATGATTTAATGGTCTATATGTTATCTTTTTTGTAGTTTGCTTTAGGGTTCTTGACACTACCTTGAATCTGGAAATGCCTGAGATCCAATTTTTAAGAAGCAGATCAAGACATGCTGAGATAGCTGAATGTTAAGAAAACCACTTTCTAAAAATCAGTGCTTTGGGTCACCCAAGTGGTGTGGTGGTTAAGGTGAGTGGATACCATGTGACCAACTGAATAGTTTGAGTCCCAGACCCAGTGACTTGAGAAACATGCCAGGTATGTGTGCATGAGTGCCCAAAATCCGGAGGAGGCATTGCATCCCTGAGAGGTGCTTTCACACTTTCTCTCTACTTCTCTATCTCTCTCTGGCAAACATGTGTGTCCTGTAACAAACTAAAAAAAGGATTAAATAAAAATAATATATTATTTTAATTATAATTTTAATATATTATTTTAATTAATATATATACCTCGCTTCTACTTGGGTAGCTAGAAGACACTAACTTGTTTCTAGATTTGAAAATCTAGAAATGGCCACTGGCACTGATCTCTTAGATCTCTTAGTTTAGTTTTTGTGCTAATGGTCTCATCTCTTATTTTGTTCTTAGATTTTTTTATTTTTTAAATTTTGCCAGAGGGCATGTGTGCTTGCTGGAGAGAGAGAGAAAGTGAGAAAGTACCCCCTCCCCCGACAGGGGATAGTCACACCACAATCTCTTTTACTCTATATCTCCCTTCTTTTGAGATTCTGGGCATACATGTGCCATATGTGTTTTCCAAGTCTCCAGGTCCAGACTCAAACCATGCATTTGGCCATTTGGGATCCAACTGTCTTAACTACCACACCACCAGTTGGCATCTTTTCAGATATTTCTTAAAAATAATTATTTTATTGGGAACCAGCAGTTAGCGTAATGGCTATGTCGCTGGACTCCCACGTAGTCGACCGTGGTTCGTGTCCCGGACCCGGTGGCTTAAAACTCATGCCGGGTGCGTGTGCGTGCATGCCCAAGATCCCGAGAGGAGAATGGAGGAGAAGGGATTGCGGCGTGACCACCCTGGGGGGTGATTTCTCGCTTTCTGTCTCTATGTCTCTCTCTGTCTGTCTGGCGAGCGCATGTGCCCTACAGTGAAAATCTCTCAAAAAAATTATTATTTTATTCAACTTTATTTATTTACTTATTTATTTTAATTTGGCCAGAGAAAGACAGAGTGAGAGAGAGAGGGAAAGTGAGAAAGCAAACCATCAGGTCTGGGACTCGAACTGCGGTCAGCCATGTGGGAATCTAGCACCCTAACCACCATGCCACCTGTTGCCCACCCCCTTTTCAGATTTATTTGGCACTTTTACTTGAAATGACACAGAGGCATGTATCTGAAGAAAATACTAGATGACAATTAGCTGAGAAATTTTTCTCTTGGAATGGTGACTGAATAATACAATCCCCAACAGAAATATTGAAAGAGAAATAACAGCCTACCTGTAGCCCTGGATTATGTGAACTGGATCCCACATGACCAACTGTGTGGTAAGAGTCCTAAACCCATTGGCTTGGAAAACATGCTAGGCATGTGTGCATGAGTGCCTTAAATCCCAACAGGATGGAGAAATGATGGAGAAATGGAGAAGGGATTATGGAATGACCATCTCCCATAGGCGGGTACTTTCTTGATCTCTCTCTCTCTCTCCTCTGTGAGTACATGTACCCTCTGACATAAAGAAAAGAGAGGAGGAAAGACAGGAAAAGAGGGGAGAAAAAATAACAAACCAATTTATTAGTGATATTAGCTTGACATTTTTCACACAGGTTGTTCACTTTATATTATACCTTCATTAGACCTTTAAAACAGTTTAACTTTTTTTTTTTTTTTTTAAGAGAGAGATTTTGCTGTAGGGTGTGCTCGCCAGAGAGACAGAGAAAGTCAGAGACACATAAAGCAAGAAATCACCCCTGGGGGGGATGGCCATGCCACAGTCCCTTCTCCTCTACTTTCCTCTTGGGACTTAGCACGCAAGCACATGTGCCCAGCATGAATTTTAAGATGCTGGATCTAGGACTCAAATCACAATCAATGACATGGGAGTCCAGCGACCTAACCATCTGCTGGTCCCAGTTTAGCCCTTTCTAAAAAAGAATTATTTACTTAATTTTACTTATTATTGTTACTATTTATTTTTTTAAATTTTGCAATAGGGCATGTGTGCTCACATGTGGCCATGTGAGTCCAGTGCCTTAACCACCATGCCACCTGCTTGTCCCAGTTTAGCCCTTTTTAAATTATAGATTTGGGTGGTTTTTTTTTTTTTTTTTGAGAGGTTTTTGCTATAGGGTGCATGTGCTCACCAGACAGACAGAGAGAGACAGAGAGACAGAAAGTGAGAAATCACCCCCCAGGGGGGATGGCCACGCCGCAATCCCTTCTCCTCCATTCTCCTCTCGGGATCTTGGGCACACACGCAAACACACCCGGCGTGAGTCTAAGCCACCGTGTCTGGGATTCGAACTGCGGTCGCCTACATGCGAGTCCAGCGACATAGCCATTACACTAACTGCTGGTCCCAAGATTTTGGTGGTTTTGACTGTATCTTAAATTTATTGAGATATTAACGGGCCCTTTAAATAGGTTTTGTTGTTGTTATTGTTGTTGTTGTTGTTTTGCTATAGGGAGTATGCTCACCAGAGAGAGACAAAGAGAGGGAAAGTGAGAAATCACCCCCCAGGAGGATGGCCACACTGAAAAATCTCTTCTCCATTCTCCTCTCTGGATATTGGGCACACATGAACAAGTGTTCAGCATGTTTTTCAAGCTGTCAGGTCCATGACTTGAACTACCTGGTTGACCATGTGGGATCCAGCACCTTAACCTTCATATTTTTTAAAAGATATATTATACAACTGGAATTTTAAATAGAAGGTCTTGGCTAGGTATTATAGTCCATCAAATGTTCTCTCATCTGATCTGAGGAATCCCCTTTCCTGATTTATAGGAGATGGTCCTTTTCCTGGATTGATTGATATGTTTGGTGATGGAGGATTAAATGAATCTCGGACGAGTCTCCTAGCTTGTCGAGGTTTTGCTACTCTGGCTTTGCCATTGTTTGGCTATGAAGATCTACCTCCGATCATGAAGGACTTAAATTTAGATTACTTTGAAGAGGCAGCTAAATTTGTGCAAAGTCACCCCAAGGTGAGTGGGGTGGTAAAGCAAACTGTGTTTAAGTTGATCTCATTAGAGCCAGAAAACAGTGAATAAAGAAAGTAGTACTAATGGGTTCAAAAATATCTACAACAAATACCTGTTGAGTGAATGAAAAAATAACATAAAGAAGTAGATGGCTATCTGATAAATCCATAAAAGACTTTCTTTTATTGTGGACTCCATGGACCCCACTAACAATCACTTTTTTCCCATTGTCTCTTTCCATGTTTGTCTTCTTTTTCTTCAATCTGTAGGTAAAAGGTCCAAACATTGGAGTGATTGGCTCAGGCAAAGGGGCAGAGCTGGCATTTTCCATGGCTAGCTTTCTTCCAAGTATAGCTGCGGTGGTGAGCATCAATGGTTGCGTCTCTAACACAGCCACTACCCTTACGTGCGGTAGAGTAATCCTGCCAGGACTACCTTTGAACCTAGACAAAATCTCTGCCACTGATTCAGGAGTATATGATGTTAAAGAAGCACTGGAAGACCCCTTGGATCCAGCCTATCAGGAAAGTCGTATTCCTCTGGAAAAAGCCAGTGCCCATTTCCTTTTTATTGTTGGAGAGGATGACAGGCATTGGAAGAGCTCTGTTTATGCCGACATAGCTATGAAGCACCTCACAGAGCACGGGAAGACAAATTTCACTCTTTTGAGCTACCCTGATGCTGGGCACAGAATAGACCCTCCTTATAGCCCTTTCTTCGCAGTAGCCCTGGATCCTGTATTGGGGGTGTCTGTTTTGGGAGGTGGGCAGCTCAAAGCTCATGCCATTGCTCAGATTGAGTCTTGGAAGAAGATCTTGGAATTTTTGCACTTGCACCTAGGGTAAAAGCTGACTGGAAGATGTTTCAGAGCAAATCAAGGGAAAGACGGAATATTTCTGACAATTGATGACTGACATCTGAACTTCTCATGGGCATTTGCAAGCTTTTTAAAATACAAATATTTGGGCCAGTAGGTGGCGCAGAAGCTAAGACAGTTGGATCCCACATGGCCCACAGCATGGTTTAAGTCCTGGGCCTGGCAGTTTGAAAAATACGCTGGGCAGGAACCAGTAGTTGGTGTAAAGGCTATGTCACTGGACTCCCATGTAGTCGACTATGGTTCGAGTCACGGACCTGGTGGCTTAAACTCACGCCAGATGTGTGTGTGTGCGTGCCCAAGATCCTGAGAGAATGGAGAAGGGATTGTGGCATAGCCATCCCCCCTGAGGGGTGATTTCTCACTTTCTGTCTTTCTCTCTCTCTCTGTCTTTCTGGCGAGCGCATGCACCCTTTAGCAAAAACCTCTCAAATAAATAAATAAATAAAGTTAAATAAAATAATTTTTAAAAAAATAGACAGTGGGCTGGCCCTGTAGCCTAGTGGTAAAGGGTGCCAGATCCCAAATGGCCAAACTTCCGACAGGATGTAGAAATGGAGGAGAAGGGATTGCAGTGTCACCACACCCCATTGAGGCTGCCTTCTCTCTCTCTCTCTCTCTCTGGTGAGCTCATATGCCCTCTGGCAACTAAAAAAAGAAAAAAGTTCTAGTCCCAAATTTATAATTACATATACAGACAACGTAATTAACTGACAGAGTTCATCTCTTTCACTTGCCACCAAAACCTTAATTATCGCTGGTGAGTGTATTTTCAATTAAAATAATTTTAGATGACATTATGAGTTCTGATTCTAAACGTTAGAAATGTGTGGAATTAAGGTGGCATGGTGTTTAAGGCATTGGACTTCCACATGGTTGATCACAGTTTAAGTTCCAAACCCAGTAGCTTAAAATCACACCAGGAATGTGTGCATGTGTGCCCAAAATCCTGAGAGGAAACTGGGAGGAGAAGGGACTGTGGCGTGGCCTTCCCCTCGGAGGGTAATTTCTCACTTTGCCTCTGTCTTTCTCTGTTGAGCACACATGCCCAATGGTAAAAAAAAAAAAAAAAAAATAAATGTGTAATTGGAAGATGTTAACAATACTGGTCCTTACCATAATTTAGCTTGTTTTTTGTTTTCACATATTTAAAGGAAAAAAATAAACACATTAATTACTCACTTTTGATTCTGTTTGATCAGTGGATCTTGTGCTCAGAACTTTTTTTTTGTGAACTGACCTTTATTTTATTACCTTGCCTACAAATCATGCATGAATGCCTTGAATAAACTCATTTTCACTCAGCAAAATTCAAAAGGGGACACATTAGAAATATTCGTTTCTGGTGTAGGAAAAGCCTTTCAACAGTCCCTAAATGATTTTCACAAAATAAAAAAAATGGACCCTCGTCTTACAGAAGTTTTGGCTTAATTTTACCAAGTACCAAGATGTGCCACAATAGTGGCAAGGCAGAGGCAAGTTAACAGAAGTTACTAATATAACAATATATTGCAGTCTGAAAACAGCCACTGTTTGTTTACTGACCAAAATTTTTACTGACCAAAATATTACTTACAAAAATAATCATGGCGGATACCTTAGTTCATCCTTCTAACAAATCTGTCGATCTAGTCTTCCCTGTTGTCAGCATCTCTAACTTCTACAAAATGGGTGGTCTTTTTTCTTCATTCCACCTCGTGGAGATGATAATTTGAAGGGCCACAGGAAGTTATTTGCTTCTTTGAAGCGTTTTCCAACTGTACAGATTTCATGAATCAGATCCTCCATGCAGATGATGCCAGATTTACCAAGAGATCGTGCAATCAAAGAGTTATCTGTCAAAGCAATTAATTTCTTATTGATTTTGCAGTAACCACACTTGTAGATCATTTTATTTACTGACTTCAGGTTCGGGTACCCCCATGCAATATATGGTTCCACAATTCTCAGCATGTTAATTGAAGCCTTGTTGAGCTTAACAAAGGTGCCATTGAAGATCTGGAAAAGATGAAGCTGCAACACCTTTCAAACCTTTGGGCTCACTCCATTGATACCTCTGATCCTGATGACAAACGCCAATTTGGGTTCTGCAGGTACATAGAAACTGCCAGCTTTTCTTGCCATCCTGGCCACGCTAATCTCAGTTCTGTACATCTGTCTATATTCCTCATGATAGTGCTTAGCTTTTTCATAGATAAGCTTCCTCCTTGCCTTTTGAAGCATCTTTTGAGCAAACTTCTTTTTCAGCGCTTGATCTTCAGCTCTGCAAAATTCCTTCGCTTTTCCTTAAGGGCTTCTGGCATAGCAGGAAACTTTTCCTTGGTTTCTGCTACAGCAGGAACCTTCTATTTCTTCTCTTGAATGCCCTCCATGTTTCCAGCCTAAAAGAGAGCTTCAGAACTATTTTGGGGATGATCTTCTTGACAGATGTTAGAGTGTTACTACCGTAACTTCTGGTATTAACGGCCTCCACCAAATTACCATTATTTTAAAAACTGAATGCAAGTTTCATATTATTACCTTTTTTCTTTTCTTTTCTTTTTTTTTTTGGAGAGGTTTTTGCTATAGGGCGCATGAGCTCGCCAGAAAGACAGAGAGATACAGAGAGACAGAAAGTGAGAAATCAACACCCAGGGGGCTGGACACACCACAATCCCTTCTCCTCCATTCTCCGCTTGAGATCTTGGGCAAGCACGCACACACGTCCGGCGTGAGTTTAAGCCACCAGGTCCGGGACTCGAACCAGAGTCAACTACATGGGAATTCAACGACATAGCCATTAAGCCAACTGCTGGTCCTCAAGTTTCATATTATTAACAAATCAACAAACAAGTATATATGTACATACACACAGTACCTCCTAATTTGGAGGTTTTTCATGTATTAAATAAAAAAAAATCTTAAGACAATTTAGAGTTTAATTGGACGAAAACACAATTCTTTTTAGTTTTTTTCAAAGAGGTTTTTGCTATAGGGCATGTGAGCTCACCAGAAAGAGACAGAAAGCGAGAAATCACCCTCTAGGGGGATGGCCATACTCCAATCCCTTCTCCTCCATTCTCCTCTCGGGACCTTGGGCACACATGCACACGGCCCGGTGTGAGTTTAAGCCACCAGATCCGGGTCTCGAACTGTGGTTGACTATATGGGAGTCCAGCGACATTGCCATTATGTTAACTGCTGGTCCCGCAAAAACACAATTTTAATCCTGCAGCCCCTCCCCCCCCCCGAATGACTTCAAAAATGAATGACTCCCAGGGAACTCCGAATAGCCACGTGATGGGCAACATTTTTTTCCTTTTTTTTTTAAGAGGTTTTTACCATAGTATGCGTGTGCTCACCAGAGAGACAAACACAGAGAGAGAAAGTGAGAAATCACCCCCCGGGCGGGGGGATGGTCACGCCACAATCCCTTCTCCTCCATTTTCTTCCTGAGATCTTGGGTACTCATGCACATGTACCCATGGCGTGATTTTCAAGCCACCGGGTCTGGGACTCAAACCATGGATAGCCATGTGGGATTCCAATAATGTAACCACTATGCCATCTGCTGTCCCCCAAGAAGCAGACTTCTATGTGAGCTTGTAGTTTGTTTATAAGAACTAAAACATGAGTACAGGGGCTTTTTCAGGTCAATTCACTTTAAGACATGTAAGATCTTAAAAAGAGATTTATTTAAAAATGAACCAAAAACAGAGTGAGGGGAGATATGGGCTTTTAATCTAATAACTATATAAGAACCATGAGCTGAGAAATGATTGAAATTTGATACATCCTCATTCTAATATGAATGGAAAAGCCTCTTGACTATGCAACTTTTAAAGAATATTTATTAAATATTATTTATTATTCTTTTTTATAATTATTTTTTATTTTATTTATTCATTCATTCATTTATTTTTTAATTTGACCAGAGACAGAGGGTGAGAGTGAGAGAGAGAGGAAGTGAGAAAGCAAGCCACCAGATTCAGGACTTGAACCCTGGTCAGCCATGTGGGAGTGTCCAGTGCCTTAACCACCATGCCACCTGCTGGGCCCTATTATTCTTTTTAAATCTGATCAGAGAGAGAAACGTAGAGAGAGAGGGAAAATGAGAAAGCAAGCCGCCAGGTCCAGGACTCAAACCATGGTTGACCATGTGGAGTGCATCAACTACCATGCCACCTGCTGGTCCTGACTATATAATCTATATAATTAGTGTCTATACAAGGTTTAAGTTCTTCTCTTATTTTGAGATAATAATTTAGCTGTTTGTTCAATCTGTAATCATCTGTTAAATGTGACAATTTTATTCTACTCTCTTGTTCTATCTACATTCTTGTTTAAAAATTAAAAATTTCTTAACACATTTGAGCCTGTTTTCTACTATGCTTTTCAAAGGGCTGATAAATTTTCTGAATTTGGGGAAGCTTTGCACAAAAGGTGCAAGTGTCTGAATTTTTTTTTTTTTTTAAGATTTTTGCCATAGGCCAAGTGAGCTAGCCAAAGAGAAACAGAGACAGAGAGAAAGGGAAAGTGAGAAATCACCTGCAGAGTGGAGGATGGCTATGCCACAGTCTTCTCCTCCATTCTCCTCTCAGATTTTTAGCCACATGAGCACACATGCCCCACTAGGATTTACTTTCTTTCTTTTTCTTTACTTTTTTTTTTTTTAAAGATTTTCACTATAGGGTGTGTGTGTCTGCTGGAGAGACCGAGAGAGACAGGGGAGAGAAAGTGAGAAATCAATCCCTAGGGAGATGGCCACACCACATTCCCTTCTCTTCCACTCTCCTCCCAGATTTTGGGCATGCACGTGCCCAGTGTGAGTTTTAAGCTGCTGGGTCCAGGACTTGAATTGTGGTCGGTCACATGGGAGTCTAGCATCTTAACCACTATGCCACCTATCGGCCCCGCCCCACTGTGTTTTTCTTTTTTTCCTTTTTTGAGAGATTTTTGCTATAGGGCGTGTGCACTTGCCAGAGAGACAGACAGAAAGCAAGAAATCACCCCCTGGGAGGATGGCCATGCTGCAATCTCTTCTCCATTCTTCTCTCAGGATTAGACACACGTGCCCAATGTGAGTTTCAAGCTGCTTCATCTGGGACTTTATCTATGGTCAACCATGTGGGAGCTCAGTGCTTTAAACACTATGCCACCTGCTGGCCCACCTGAAGCTCTTTTTTTGGTTAAGGTTTTTGCCATAGGGTGAGTATACTTTCCAGAGAGAAGCAGAGAGACAGTGAGGAGAAAGTGAGAAATCACCCTAGGAGGATAACCATGCAGCAATCCCTTTTCTTCCATTCTTCTTCTGGGATTTTGAGCACACACACACAGGCGCTCAGGGTGATTTTCAAGCTGCCAGGTCTGGGACTTCAACCGTGGTTGATCATGTGGGAATCCAGCACCTTAATCACCATGCCACCTGTTGGCCCACCTGAGGCTTTTAATACATATTGCCAAGAGCCCTCCAGAAAGGTATCCACTATAAACAGCAGGGTATGTTGTGTAGGTCCCTGTCTCCATACCCCTAGTAACTCTTTGTTGTTGTTGTTGTTACAATTTTTAGCTAATATAGTAGCTGGGGAGAAGCCACCTCCCTTATATAAAACCTGTGACATTTGAAAAATGGAACCCAGTTCCCAGCAGTTGCCTCAACTTTCCAAAGGGTCCAGAATAAGGAAATATAAGAAACTGGGTTATCAGTCTGGTGGTACAAGGTCCCATACAGTAAAATTCTCCTGAGCACCATTTGGTATCACTCCAGGCCTGATAAGGAACCCAGGCTCAACTTCTGCATAATTGGTCTTGGCAAGAGCCCACACTGGTGCTGCTACTGCAAAGTCACACTGACCCAGAAAGTAGCAGATAGAAGATCGAAAGCGAGTACTGGGAGGTCTAGCTTCCTAGCGATGGATCAAAAAGATCCATGAAGGGAACCAGCAGTTAGCGTAATGGCTATGTCGCTGGACTCCCACGTAGTCGACTGCGGTTCGCGTCCCAGACCCGGTGGCTTAAAACCCACGCCGGGCGCGTGTGCGTGCGTGCCCAAGATCCCAAGAGGAGAATGGAGGAGAAGGGATTGCGGTGTGGCCATCCCCTCTGGGGGGTGATTTCTCGCTTTCTGTCTCTCTGTCTCTGTCTGTCTGGTGAGCGCACGTGCCCTATAGTGAAAAACCTCTAAAAAAAAAATCCATGAAGTATTTCCCATGAAGTATTTCTTGTATGCTTACCCCACTGCCCTAACACCCCTGCCTATCAGTCAGGCAGAGGGTCTCCCAGAACAGCTTCATTACCCTGTGAAAGAAGCCCCTGCCTCCTGGTCAGGATGCTCAGGCAACTCCAGCGTCAGACCTCGAGGCCCGCTTTCTCTCAATAAACTTTCCATTTCTCTGGAGGTGAGGCCTCCGGAGTCTTACTCCAGACGGTGACAGATGGCGAGGAGAACTACAGCAGGCGGTTTAGACTAGGCGATCAACCAAGAGAGGGGAAAGGACACGGACAGGGAGAAGAGTTTTAAACGTTCTTTTATGCAAAGGGCAATAGTTGTGGGAAGGTCTTAGAGTTTTAACCTGCAGGCATGGCCGTGACCCCAGATCAGGGGAAATAGCCGTGGGTAGGAACGAGAACATCGGGCCACTCCGTGCGCGGTGAAGCCCCAGCCTCGGTGAAGGCAGCATCAGCGCAGCGGTCGGGCGGCAGGACCCGGCTGTCCGCCACGCCGTCCCACAATGCCCCGCTCGCGCCACCCCGGGGGCGGGGAGGCAGGACAGCTGCCGGGGTAGGCATCCGCGGGGAGCTCGGCGCAGTGCGCACGCGCACTGACCCCGGCGGGCCCTAGCAACCAGAGCAGTGACAGTAGCAACGGCCGGAATGGTGAGTACCCTCCGGGCCTCGCAGCCAAAGCTGAGCAGATTCGGAGTGGGTAAAGGTGACTGTGGAGGGCTGAGAGGGTAGGGGGCCTCGGACAGCAGAAGGGAGCTAGTAGCGGATGCTACGTCTGCGGAGTCGGAGGCCTGAGGCTTAGGATTCCCTTGCTGGGGATCTCCTGGGGTGACGGCGGCCTGGGGTGCGTTGGAGGTTGGGTTAAGGTGCAGGGACTCTGACACGAGAAGAGGGAACGCGAAGAGCTGGAAATTTTTGGAAAACAGCAGGTTGGAGTGGGAAAGGGGATGGGAAGGAGAGCGTGGAAAAAGATGTCTATTTACATAGAAGAGATTTTAATTCCCTCCCTGGCTAGATGGTGGGAGGGGCTGGTTAAGAGGTTTGGGAAACACCGAGTGCAGCGGTATTCGTAACCCGACGTGAACCGGGTTGCCTCGGAACACTGCACGTGCAGCGATTAGGTAACACCGTAATGGATAGACGCATGAGGACACTTTCTCAGTTTTCAGGATGCACACATCTGGGCTTACTGGAATGCAGATTTTTAACATGTGGTGGGTTCAGAAATGGCCTTTTCGACAATGTACCTCAAGTGATTCTAAAATTTGGGAGCCTCCCTCCATACTTTAATACCGCTGCCTTCGGTTGGAAACCTACCAGCAGCAGTATTAAAAACCTATCCAAGCAGAATTCTTTGTGAAGTACTGTAATGATTGTACCTACTTAGTGTGCTTATATACTTGGTAGTGCCTGTTAGTAGTCCGAAAGGGTTACAGACTCAGGCAAAGCTATTTAACAAAGTACAGGATTGTCTTGCCAGATGGAGATGTTTATGGAGAGTAGGTATATAGTTAGCTGTCTTCTTTTTGCTATTCTAGTGCTGTAAGTAGGCAGACTGAAATGGTGAAGAGGTCATGCTCCCCTCAACCACAGATTAAATACCACTCTTTGAAAAGTATAATAGTTCCCTTTCTCTCCACCTCCCCCCGTTGTTCTTATTTTATTCCACAGGTATTTAACTGAAAACCACTGTCAAGGAAAGAGAAACAGTTCTGGAACCTTTGTTTTTTTTTTCAGGTGAAGATAGACTCAGCCCTAAATGACTCTGAAAGCAACAAGAAGGGGGGTTATTGAAAATCCTGTTTGCTTCAGAACCATTAATTAGGTGAAGCCAGCTAAGACTATGGATTGGTAGTCACAGAGCCCTCCAGAAATAGAGGCCCACATAAGACTTAAATATCTTTCAAAATTAACTTCCAGTGACTTAAAAATTATATTGAACATTAAAAGCCAGATTTGGGGCTTCTCTGAAAAATCAGTAATACTGTGTTTCATTCTCCTGGAGCGCATTTTTTCACTTTTTAGTATTACTGGAATATGATAGTGTCGTATAATTGGCAGCATCTTTTCTTTCTTTATGATGCATAAAATGGGGTGTTACTTGTAATTGATGAAGTGTATATATATATATATGAAGAAATGGGGCATTAAGGCAACTCTTCCCTCCAAGACCTACCTGTTAACAGTTGTCTGGACCTGAGTAGAAGTTATCTTTACATGATTACGTGGGCTCTGTCCTTACCTGGCCAGCCTTCCCCATTAAAGATGCCCACTTGGTTTTTAGGCCTTTGAAGATGTTTTTGTTTTTCTTTTGGCATAGGGTGTTTGCACTTGCTGGAGAGAGGCCCAGAGAGACAGAAAGTGAGAAATCCCCTTCCATTGCTGATAGCCATGCAGCAATCCCTTCTCCTCCATTCTCCTCTTGGGATTGTGGGCACACATATGCATATGCCCCAGGTGCATGTGTCAGGTATGGGAATTGAACCATGTTCAGCCATGTTGGGAGTCCAGTGCCTTAACTTACCACCCCACCTGTTGGGCTGGGATTTGAGTTTTTGATTCTAAACTTTTTGATATCTAAAGGGGAACTAGTGATGGTATAGCAATTTATGTTGATACAACAGATAGCCAGATTACTTCCGCCTCTGTTTTCATGAACAGTGCTATCAAAGTGTTTCTTCTTTTTTAATTTTGCCAGAAAGCATTTGCACTTGCTGGACATACAGAAAGCAAGAAAGCACCCCCATGGGGAGTGGTCATACTACCATCCCTTCTCCTCTATTTCTCCCTCCTTTCAGGATTTTGGGCATGTATGCATAGGTACCCTGTGTGTTTTTCAAGCTGCCAGGTCTGGGACTTGAAGTGTATGTAGTCAACAGTGTGGGATCTAGCTGCCTTTACCACCAAGCCAGTGGCTGTCACATCCATGTGTTCTTCTGCTTTTTTTTTGT